GGACAGTTTTAGGGTCTGACACCAAATGCGTTGTACTGTAGCTGAGTTTTAGTTGCTGTATGCTTAAAGCATTTTGTGTATCTTTATTCTGTGGGCTACCTCCAAAAACCTTCCAATAATAAATTGTCTTTTATTATAGAAAATATGTTAGATGTCAGATCTCATCCACTCCACCAAGGAGTGTTCAGGAATTATATCTATAGTACCACAATATCTACACCGCCAATAGTCCTCCAGTCCTGATTTAAAGATTTTAAGATTACAAGAACATGGCATTACTTCCAACCTCTGAATCTCTTGTGGCAGCAACTGCAGATTTGGGGCATAAAAATGATTACATCTTTGTTGCATTTCTCACTGAGGTTTTGTAGGAAGTTAACACCCACCCCTCTCCTAGAAAATTGAAATATCCTAGGAAATATTAAAAAGGAAGAATATTTGAGTAGAAAAAGAGTAGAAACTCAAGAGCAGAAACTCACCCCCACCTTTGTTAATGGGTGGGCCATTAAGGCCTGGGCCAGAATACTTTACATAACAAAGATCTCCAGGTAAAACTATAGCAATTGCCAAAAGCCCTTTCAGTGCATCATCATCCAGCAAGGCTCAACCAAGCCTGGAACTCAGGACAGCCTACAGAGTTGCCCCTGCGTGGCCCCATGGGAGTCCGACAACCAATCAGAATACAAGCTCCAATTCAAATCCCAACAAAGGTTATAAAAACCAGGCGCTCTCAGCACCTCAGCTCTTCTTGATCTTCTCTTCTCACTTTGAAGCATGTAATCATCCTTTTCACTTTGGTGCTTCAAGCCTTGTGGTCCTGCTGTCCACCATTAAACCATCTTTCCCAACAGCCTCCATGTTTCCAGTGTCTTTTCCCCCCACTTGGAACTGAACCCAGAAGGATTTTTCTTCCAACAGTTTCAAAAATACATTTTGTTTCTACATGGGTGTTTCTCAACTATGGCAAGTTGAAAACATGTGGACTCCCAGAATGTCCCAGCCAACATGACAACACTGTTTGAAGTTCGGCTTAATGTTTCTGACCGTTTCACAAAGAATAGTACCAGGTATCCTTTTGGCGGGGGGGGATTTCTCAGATTGAGGATTAAACGTTGTACTTAAGTAGTGGTTAGGACTCCTTTTACAGGAACAAGTTAATTGTTTTAATAACTTAATTTCCTTCTCTGTCAAATTTACCCAGTCACGTCTGTTTCTTTGAAATTTGAGTTCAACTATGTTAAGTCTGCAATTTTCAGAGAAAAGTAATACCCTGACTTTGCAAGAATCATTCTTACAAAATGCTGGTTGGCACCTACAATTTATGGACTGACAAGCAGTAATCTTTTATATTCCCGCTACACAAATATTCCGCAATAGCTACTTAAAGAGTTTCTCATGCCAACATATTTTAGGAAGAGGCAGAGAAGGAACAGATATTGAAGCTGTTCCCAGGCCCAGAGCACTGGAATTCAGAACAGAATGCAGAAGTTGTCAAGCGGTGACATTTCTATTGTAAAGCGTATCCACAAATACTCGGGAGTAAACAGTTTTTAGTGATGCATAAGAAAACTAGCAGAGTCAATACAAGGGATTTCAAGTATTGAGCCCCCGTTTCTGGTTATTTCAGGCAGAAGGGGAAAAATAAGGAAACTGACAGTGATGGGTAGTGGGAGAAAGGGAAGGGACTGAAAGATTGGGGGAGATGGGGCAATGAGAAATTCAGTGCTCAAACAGTAGACATTATTATAGATGCACATATATTGCACTGGAGTATTGGTGGACGCAGCTGAGCAGGGCAGAATTGGGCAGAACATTGATATTCAACAGGTTTGTCCTGCTTGCTATGCAAAATTTCCAGCCCTTCAGCACATTTTCCGTTCCATGCACACACTTATTTAAACTAGGGAATGAAAAACATAAGTCATGGATGCCTAATCGGGAGTATCAAAAATGCTTTTTCAAAAGGAAAGTAGACTTTCTGGTTTTTCTTTGAAGATGTTTCGCTTCTCATCCAAGAAGTTTCTTCAGAGCTGATAAACCAGTTACTTCTTGAAAGAACACCTTTGGGACAACCATGACTAAGAATCTCCATAGACATTTAATCAGGAGTAAATGAAAGAATGTTTGAGCATGAAGAAATATGCTGATGCTTGAAGGAATATTATTATTCAGAATTTATGAGTGTGACACAGTGTGTTCAAAATTGTTTTAAAAAAGCCTCTATTTTGGCTTTCAGTAAAGTAGGGTTTTCTTTTTACAAATTAATCACATTCATTTTTGTACGTAATTTTTAAAATAAGTTGTAGTTTAAGAATCATGATCCGATTCTACAATTGCCTGCTAGAGTTATGCTGTACCATTTCTAGTGTTCCCATTATGTTGACATTGAGAATAGATTCAATATAGGCTTTTGTGCTGTATTGTGAAAAAATGTGGGTATTTTGGGCAAAGCTACTTTGAAAGCTCTTTGCTATTCCAAACAGCTTAATTGGCATATTGTCTTGTATCATTCCAGGATTTTTAAACATTAAGTCATGTCCCTTCTATTCATGTAGGATGAAGGCAGGGTGAAACAGAAGGCAATATTAGAAAAAGGAAAAGCTAGGCTACTCTTAATGGAGGCAAGGTTAAGTTCCTCCACTCTGTTTAAGTCAAAACAGAACACATTTTACTGAGCTAAGTAACCACACGTTTTAACACAGCTACTCTAATTGCTAGAAATACACGCTTTAAAATTATTTTGTTGGCTATGTACATTAAATAGAAAGCTTTGATGTTTTCCCTTACTGCCAGGAAGTCTATTAAAACAATATTTAATCGGCTTGGTTTTTAAAATTAGCGTTGTTAATTAAATACTGTTATGCATTATCATTTTATTAAATTTAAGATAGCCACCCATTCCAGTGGATTCTTGGCAGCTTACAAAACCCAGTACTTAATTATTACTTTTGCAGGGAAAACTTGGAAATGTCTTTCAGAGTCGATTAGATGTCCATGTTCCTCCTCCACTTGACTAAATGAATCTTTGGATTAAATATCCCTTTCCACACACATCCCACGGGCAGCAGTTGAGTTCTCCCATCTCACTTGTCAACAATTGAGTTAATTCTGCATAAGGCTACTGCTTTGCCGTATTGTGAAACCCCACTTAACAAGTCAAGACGTGGATGAACTGTGGCGCCCTTGCTGCTCTCCCATCATTGTTTTGCTTGCAGACCTTTCGCGAGCCAACTAGGTAACATCATCAGTCCAAAGGAGTTGCGGCATGTTTGCTTCCTGACATTCGGGTCCAACGACAAAGCTACTACGTACTCCCGCAATGAACTGTCTGCAAGCCAAGCAAGCAAACTCAGAGAGCACCAGAGAGCTAACTCCGAGCTACAGATATTCTTTTCTATTGGAAGTTCCTTGAAACATAGCTCCAGCAATGTCCAGCCTCTGCAAATAATGTATTTAGGGACACATCAGGGCCCCCCCAAACTTGGCAGCTTTAAGACTTGGGGACTTCAACTCCCAGAATTTGACCTCACCCCATTCCTAAGAGGTCTGTGTAAGGGGCGGGCATAAGTGCGCCATCTTGCCTCCCGTCCTTGTCCTATTGGCCCCATTTAGTCGTACCTATTTCCTGTGTTCTTACTCATGTTTATACTTATACCTATTGTAAAGCGATTGGCAAATCAAATAAATACATAAAATAAATAGAATTCTGGGAGTTGAAGTCTATAAGTCTTAAAAGTTGCCAAGTTTTTTTGGGGGGTGGGGGGCGCTCCGGTTAACATCCTCACCAAGAAGCAGCATTATGCAGTCCTCACTCCTGAACGGTGTGCTTGCACATTATTTATTTATTTTGATTTGTCAATCGCTTACAAGATAATAGGTATAAGTATATGCATAGTTATGAATACATGAAATGGGTACATATAAGAAAAATAAAAAAGAAACAATAGGACAGAGACGGTAGGCACGTTGGTGCGCTTATGCATGCCCCCTACAGACTTCTTAGGAAAGGGGTGAGGTCCATAGTAGACAGTCTAAGGTTAAAGTTTTTGGGGTTTGGGGAAGAAACTACAGAGTCAGGTAGAGTATTCCAGACATTGACCACTCTGTTGCTGAAGTCGTATTTCCTGCAATCAAGTTTGGTGCGATTAACCTTGACTTTGTATTTATTGTTTGCTCTTGTGTTGTTATGGTTGAAGCTGAAGTAGTCATTGACAGGTGGGACATTGCAATGTATGATTTTATATACCATATTTAGATCAGACCGAAGGCGGCGTAATTCAAGGTTTTCTAGGTCTTAAAATTTCAAGTCTGGTGGCATAAGGTATTCTGCAACGAGTAGAGGAGTGGAGAACTCTTCTTGTGAAATATTTCTGGACTTTCTCAACTGTGCTAATATCAGATATGTAATGTGGGTCCCAGTCTGATGAGCTGTATCGCGCAGCCAATTCCTTCCTAATCGTTGTGACGGCAGACCTCGCTCCGTCAGTCGGCCACCGCAGCTCCAGAGCCTTATCAGGCTCCAGCACACAGTAGCTTCCCACTTCACCCCTCTTGGCAACACTTCACAGCCTTGGCCAAGGAGGCGAACTTTCGGCCCGGGCCTGCTCCACAAAAAAAAAAAAAAAGCAGCCCGGGCCCCCCAGCGCGAGGGGGGGGCGCATTAACCCACCCCCCCCCCCCCCGCCGGCCTAAGACTTGGGGGAAAAGAGACCAGCGGAGGGAGCGTCGCCCGGAGCAAACGGGAAGACTTGGGGGAAAAGAGACCAGCGGAGGGAGCGTCGCCCGG